GTGGCTTCAACCAATTAGTCATAGTTGCAGTTTAGTGTTCTTTAAATATGGCATATATGTAATAAAATTTTTAAAAAATAAAAAAGAACTAACAAAATAAATAATGGTATATACCTCACTTATGATGTTACACTCTTACAGTAAATGTTAATAAACATGATGAATATGTTCTAGATGTATACTACATTGATTTGAATTTTTACTGGTTGGTAAATAAATGGGAAGAATGGGAATTATTTATGTAAATTCCTTGCTGAATTATGTGTTCACATGTGTTGGGACTCAGGCTTAATTTTAAGTCTTAATGAGGTAAAAGTATCAAAGTAGCTGGTTATATTCTTGTTACTACTGTGTGGCTAGAATTTGAAAAAAAGATTAAAAATTCACATTTGTCTTACCATGGTCACAGAATATTTTCTATTATTATGGAATAAATTATTGACCAGAGGCATAGGTTTACTTCTAAACAGAGAAAAAAAATCTTTGAATCAGGTGAAAAACAGTTTAGAAGGAATTTGATTAAATGCATACAACCAATATGATTTCTAGCATTAAATTGCAGTGTATATTGTGTTAGTGAAAAAAATCATTAGATTAGTAAAATTCTAGCCCAACGGTATGTCCTGCTCTAACAGAGATTAAGTTGTAGGCTGGGTGTGGTAGTTTGCATACTTGTAATCCCAGCATTTAGGGAGGCAGGGGCGGGTGAATGGCTTAAGCTCAGGAGTTCAAGACCAGCTTGGCCAAAATGGCTAAAACCGGTCTCTGCTAACAATGCCAAAAAATTAGTTGGGTGTGGTGGCATGGGCCTGTAGTCCCAGCTACTCAGGAGGCTAAGGCAGAAGAATTGCATGAACCTGGGAGGCAGAGGTTGCGGTGAGCTGAGATCGTGCCACCGCACTGCAGCCTGGCACAACAGAGCAAGACTCTCTCAAAAAAAAGTTTAAGTTGTGAATTTTGCTCTTTTTCCTTGGTGTCGTCAACATACTTTTTACATGTTGATGTATTACATATACATACCAATGCTGATAATCTTTAATGAGCATATACTTATCTGTACATGCATATTCAAGTAAAAGCATTTCTTTTGTATGATAAGGGAGTTTAAGCTGGTTTAATAATGTAATATGCTTTGAGACCCTCTGTCAAAAATAAATAAATAAAAAGCAAGATATGGCCAGGCACAATGGCTCACATCTGTAATCCCAGCACTTTGGGAGGCCGAGGTCAGTGGATCACCTCAGATTAGGAGTTCAAGTCGAGCCTGGCCAATGTGGCAAAACCCCATCTCTACTAAAAATATAAAAAGTAGCTGGGTGTGGTGGCACACACCTGTAATCCCAGCTACTCAGGAGGCTGAGGCAGGAGAATTGCTTGAACCCAGGAGGTGAAGGTTGCGGTGAGCCAAGATTGTACTACTGTACTCTAGCCTGGTCAACAGAGTGAGACTCCATCTCAAAAAAAAAAAAAAAAAAAAAAAAAAGATACACTTCAAATATTTTCAGATCTTAAAACTGAAAGTTAAAGATGGAAATATGAACTCACATCTACCATAAAGTAGGAGCTGAAGTGTTTGTTAAACTAAAAAGTGAATCAAATGTACAGTGCATCTTGTTAGGAGGAGATAAGAACCATTGATGCTATGCCAATATTGACAATTAAGAATAGTTTCCTTAGTTTCTATCTGGGATCATTTAGTATCCATTGTTACAGTGTTCGGATTTCTGTTTTTAGTCATTGAGTGCTTCCCAAAGCTAGTGAGTGTTCTGAAGTTCCCAGACAATGCTAGTATTAGTTTTGTATATGAAAATAAAAAGACTTTATTATTGTTGTTGTTGTTATTATTATTTAGACGGAGTTTCTCTCTTGTTGCCCAGCCTGGAATGCAATGGTACATCTTGGCTCAATGCAGCCTCCACCTTCTGGGTTCAAGTGATTCTCCTGCCTCAGCCTCCCAAATAGCTGGGATTACAGGCACGTGCTACCACACCTGGCTAGTTTTGTATTTTTAGTAGAGACAGGGTTTCTCCATGTTGGTCAGGCTGGTCTCAAACTCCCAACCTCAGGTGATCCGCCCACCTCCGCCTTCCAAAGTGCTGGGATTACAGGCTATGATTATTATTTTTTAACAGAGACAGGGTCTTATTATGTTGCCCAGGCTGGTCTCAAACTCATAGCCTTAAACAGTCTTCCCACCTTGGCATCCCAAATTGTTGGGATTACAGACTTTATTCACTGTACTCGGCCATGGAGATAATCTTGAAGATTAAATTCTTTTTTACAAAATTTTTATTTCAGTTTAGTTTCTGAGACAAGGTCTTGCTCAGTTGCCCAGGCTGGAGTGCAGTGGCACGATCATAGCTCACTGCAGCCTCTGCCCCCTGGGCTCAAGTGATCCTCTCACCTCAGCCTTCAAGTAGCTGGGACTACAGGCATACACCACCATGCCTGGCTCAGTTTTTTATATTTTGTAGAGATGGGGATTGCCCAGGCTTCTCTTGAACTCCTGGGCCTAAGTGATTTCACCCACCTCGACCTCCTGAAGTGCTGGGATTACAGGTGTGAGCCACCACATCCGGCCCTTGAAGATTAAATTCTCATCTGCAAATTCAAAATTATTCTTTTTCTCCTCCTCTTCCTCGTGTAATTTGTGGTTATACTTGTTACAAAACAGTGTTTGATTCAGGCTCAGTGGCTCACGCATGTAATCCTAGTATTTTGGGAGCCTAAGACGGGCAGATCTTGTGATCCGAGGAGTTCAAGACCAGCCTGGGTAATATGGTAAAACCCCATCACTGCTGGAAATTAAAAAATTAGCTGGATGTGATGGTGTGTGCCTGTAGTCACAGCTACTTGGGAGGCTGAGGTTGCAGTGAGCCAAGATTGTACCATTGCACTCAAGCTTGGGCTACAGGAGTGAGACCCTGTCTTAGAGAGAGGGAGAGAAATGTATTATTCATAAGCCCTACATTACTGTCTTACTTAATTTGCATTGTATTTTATTTTATTTAACCCTATAATAACATGTTTGCCATAATGTTAAGTGTACATTCCTTCAGTGTGAGTCACTTACATACTATGGATACTTTAAGTAGGATGGATACAGTGTCTTTTAGGGAAAACCAGACAAATAAGGCAGAAATCATAGAAGTGTAATTAATACTATAGCAAAGGAAACTACAGCTGTGTGGAACAGATCAGGAAGAAGTGATACAGAAACAGACTTGAAGAATAACTAGGAATTCTTTGAGAGAAGAGGGGATAGAGGCATGTTATTGAGAAAACAAATATGTATGAAGGCCCAGAGCAGGGGAAAAGTTGAATATGACTTTTTGAGCAGGAGAGTGGAGTATGGGATTGCAGTAAAACTTGAGATTTCAGGGGTAATCTAGGGCCAGTTAAAGAGTGTTTGGCCTACTGCGGTGGCTCATGCTTGTTATCCCAGCACTTTGGAAGGCCAAGGTGGGAGGATCACCTGAGGTCAGGAGTTCGAGACCAGCCTGGTCAACATGGCAAAACCCCATCTCAGCTAAAAATACAAAGATTAGCCAGGTGTGATGGTGGGCACCTAAAATCTAAACTACTTGGGAGGCTGAGTCAGGGAGAATTGCTTGAACCCGGGAGGTGGATGTTGCAGTGAGCCGAGATTGCACTATTGTACTCTAGACTCTAGCCTGGGTGACAGAGCAAGACTCCTTCTCAAAAAAAAAAAAAAGAGAGAGAGAGAGAGTGGGCTTACCTGAAGGGAATGAGAGGTCATTAATGGTCCTTAAGCAGCACAGTGATGCAAATCAGATTTGTTTTAAACGGCTCTCTTTAATTTTGGTGTGGAAAATAATTGGAGGGAACAGACAGGTATGCAATAAAGGCAGGAAACTGTAGTAACCTAGGTGACAAATCATTGTCTCCTTTAATGGGAAGGTGGTTGGAGAGAATTAGGTATCATTGAAAGTAGTAAAATTATTAAGACTAAAAAGAATCAGGCATAGCAAGAATGAAGGAATGGAAAGTGTCTATTGGTTTTCTGTATTTTAAAGTTGTTGGCGAATTAAAGTGCTTTTTTTTTTTAGATTGAATATGAGTTAGCAAGCAAGATATGAGGAAGAAACAGGTAGTGTAGAAAACTCAAGAAGTGACAAAGAGTTGAGAGAAGTGGAAAATCTTAGCTTCTTTCCATGAATAGCTTAGGAGCATATATTAAAGAGTTAATTGTTTTTCATTTGGTCACGCTCTCTTGCTCAGGCTGTAGTACCATGGCACAATCACAGCTTGCTGCAGCCTCAACCTTTCAGATTCAAGCGATCCTCATGTTTTAGCATTTTCACTTGTTGGTTTATTATTCTTACATACTGAGACAAATAATGAGATGATTAGACTCGAATCTGGAAACAGATTGTAGGAGTTTACATTAGTCTCTGTTTAACTACCTATTTGATTTTGGGTAGATTTCTTAAACTCTAAGCCTTAGAGTCTTTTCAATGCCTGCTACATCATATAGGCCCTCCAATAAAAAGAATTTGAGAAAAAATTCTACAGAAAGATTAAGAAAAGCACAGCCACTTACTATTTGTGGTTCCATTCACTGATTTTACTTGCTTTTTTCCTCAAACCTATTCTGCACCCTGCCTCACATGAAGAAAAGTGCCATTTACTATTTATGTTTTTATTTTGTGTACTACTTTGTTTACCAAAATGGATTTTAGTCTCTGTTGTATTCTCCTATCATCTGCCATTATGCTAGGTAAAATGTAAGCTCATAGTAATTGTTGAGTTTGTTTAAAGGTGGGACATTTATTAAAGTTTAAAAACAATATATGTTAGTGACAACATTCAGCTTACTGAATCCTTTGACATCTGTACCCCTTCTTACACCTAGGCAAAATGACTTAATAGATATAGGGACCTTTCTTTTTTTAGATTGAAGATTTCATTTTCTTGTAGTTCTACTTAAACTGTTTTATTTCTGTTACTTAAAAACTCAAGTGTGCTTTATATTCTAGGTCCGGTTTATCACTAAAATATGGCATCCTAATATTAGTTCCGTCACAGGGGCTATTTGTTTGGATATCCTGAAAGATCAATGGTAAGAGATTTTGAATTCACCTTCTCTCTTTCTCATATGAATACCAAGACTATAAGAGTGTTAAATGTGTAATTGCCTCAAAGCATATATTATACTTTATTCTGTTTGGGCAGTAACTTTATGAAGTCTCTTAAGTACGTAATTGTAAATGCAGTATAATTGAGATCACAATCCATATTTAAATAGAGACTTGTTAGATAATGTTAGATGCTAGCTTTACATTTTGAAAAGTCTTGGCTTTTATTTGTTGTTTTGGTAAATTTGATTCTTCGCTATCTTAAGAAGATATTTGTGAAAGACTAAAAAAGTAAAAAGTAAGTATTAAAGTAGCCATCTCCCCCTCAGATGGAATGTAAGCTACAGAATTGCTGTAAGTTGTGTTAATTGAGCACAGTTACGGTTTTTGGTTCATGAATTCTAACAAGGACCACCTTTGTAGGTGATGTCTTCATTTGGACAGCAGTATTGTGCTTTCACTTGGTTTGTCTCATTTGCTCTGTATAGCATTTAAGCATTTTAAGAGTTCCTACTCTGGAGCCATGAGGTTCACATCTTTGCTCTCCAGTTTACCAGGCTGCATGGTCATGAGCAAATTGCCTAAAGTCTGTGTGGCTTAGTGTCCTCGTCTGCAAAATGGGTTGACACCCACTTCTAGAGCTGAGAGGATTTAATAAGTTGTTTTATATAATTCTCTTAGAATAGAGCTTTGCTTTTTGTTGTTTTTGTTGAGACAGGGTCTTGCCCTGTTGCCCAGGCTGTAGTGCAATAGTGCAGTCATAGTTCACTGCAGCCTTCTCTTAAGCCCATGTAGTCCTACCACCTCAGCTTCAGAAGTAGCTGGGAATACAGGTGCAAACCACCATGCCTGGCTAATTTCTGTATGTTTTGTAGAGATAGGGTTCTGGTTGCCCAGACTGGAAACTTGCATAATCTAACAATGATAAAGATGATAGTGAATTATTTAGCACATGACTTTATAGATGGAAAAACTAAGACCAAAGGTATAAAAAGTAATTGGAGTGGGAGAAAACCATAAAATTAGAAAAGATCAATTGTGTTATTATGACCTTTTCTTCTGATTTTACTCTTTTGCAAGAGAATGTATAACAGAACAAAATAAACAGCAATTGGTAGAAAGACTTGGAGCCAAAACTGTGTTTAATGGGCCCTACCTGGCTACCTAATCTTCTAAAGATTCTGTATTATTGCTGGTACTAGAATTTTTAAGCTATGGTTGGTTTTTTTTTGGAGACAGAGTTTCACTCTTGTTGCCTAGGCTGGAGTGCAGTGGCACAATCTTAGCTCACTGTAACCTCTGCCATCCGGGGTTCAAGTGGTTCTCCTGCCTTAGCCTCCTGATAAGAAAGGGGGAAAAAATGGTACCTGAAAGAAAATGAAATAGGAATGACATCATTTAGTGTATGGCCAATTTGGTTTACTTAGTAACTGGATGAACAGACTAGAGTTGCAGGTTTTGTTTTCTTTTTCTATTCCAGTAGCACATCAGAGTAAACACGTCCCTCAGTAGATCATCTCTTGGGATCTAGTTCCTTTTTTTTTTGAGATGGAGTTTCGCTCTTGTTACCCAGGCTGGAGTGCAATGGCGTGATCTCAGCTCACCGCAACCTCCGCCTCCTGGGTTCAGGCAATTCTCCTGCCTCAGCCTCCTGAGTAGCTGGGATTACAGGCACACGCCACCATGCCCAGCTAATTTTTTGTATTTTTAGTAGAGACAGGGTTTCACCGTGTTGACCAGGATGGTCTCGATCTCTTGACCTTGTGATCCACCCGCCTCAGCCTCTTAAAGTGCTGGGATTACAGGCTTGAGCCACTGCACCTCACCTGGGATCTAGTTTCTTTATCTATATTCCCATATATTCTATATTCCACATCGATCAAGACTTTCAAACATAAAACAATGTGAAATAGGCTGGGCGCAGTGGATCACAAGGTCAGGAGATTATGATCATCCTGGCTAACACAGTGAAACCCCGTCTCTACTAAAAATATAAAAAATTAGCCAGGCATGGTGGCATGCGCCTGTAGTCCCAGCTACTCGGGAGGCTGAGGCAGAATTGCTTAGACCCAGGAGGCGGAGGTTGCAGTGAGCTGAGATTGCACCACTGCACTCCAGCCTGGGTGACAGAGTGAGATTCTTGCCTTTAAAAAAAAACAGTGTGGAATAAACATACTTTTTATCTTCTCTGTTACTCTTTTTTGATTTGTGACTTTTGCCAATTTATTGAACTTAAGCGTCAGTGTTTTTAATCCATTAGGTTCCTGTAAGTAGACGCTCTCGAGAAGTAGCAAAAAAAAAAAAAAAAAAGAGAGAGAAAGAGAAATAGAAAATAAAATAATCCATTACTTTATCCCCAAGGCTCCTGAAAGCGCTAAGATTCAGTGATAGGAGTATATATTTGCAGTATTAGAGACACTGTACTTTTTTCATTTGGCTTCAGGTACATTAGTTTTCCTATTCTCCCTTTCCAGTGCTCACTCCCAGACTCCTTAACCAGTTCCTCTCATATCTCCTGGATCTTTGTGTATTAGAATGCCTTAGGGATAAGTCTTGGATTTCTGCTCCTTTCTAGCTGTACTCACTTTCTTGCTAAGCTCATCTGATTATCATAACTTCATCTTTACATACTACAAACTCGCAAATTATCTTCCCTGAACTTGAGACTCCTATCCTGCTGCCTGCTTATTGTCTTTACTTGAATATATAATGAACATATTGAACATGTGAAAAACTGAAGTGATAGTCTCCTAACCTGAAACCTGTTTCTGTAGTCTTCCCCAACTAAGTTATTGGCAAATACATCCTTGCATTTGCTCAGGCCAAAATCACATCATGATCCTTGGTGTTTCTTTCTCTGGTACCCTATGCCCTGTCTGTGGATCTATTGGCAAAACTTCCAAAATTTTAACTGGAGCTTTACTAGTACGCCTTTTCAAACATGTTACCTCTAGCCTGGATAATTGCATTAGTCTGCCTCCCTGCTTCTGGCTTTTCCCTACTCAGGCTATTCTCAGCACCCAGAATGACAACCTTAAAAACAAAGCTTGCAGTTGAAAACTTCCCACTGACTTCTCTTTTTGCCTAAATTAAGCCAACAGTACTATTACTTGCAATTATCTCCCTATATAGCTAGTTGAAAGATTATGTTGTGTGTATATAGGGAGAGAAGTTGAATTTTTATACCAAAACATTTTCTCCTAATATGCTGTGCAGGAATAAAACATTTTTTACATCAACTATTCCCTTTTCCTAAGGCAGGTGAATAATTGGTTTTGTATCTGTACAATTGAAATATTAAAAGATACCAAAGACACAGTAGGTAAAATAGGTGAGACTAGATATTCATGAAGTCATTACTCTCTTCTCTGAGCTTTACTGAGGTATAATTGACATTTAGTGCATATCCATATTTAAATGTGAATGTTTAGGTTTCAGAACTGGAATCTGATAGAGGAAAATAAAGGATCTTAATCATAGGAAAAATTACATAAACATTAAATAATTTTTGGCAGGCATACTAGAAAATAATTGGTTAATCTTGGTCTTTTATTAATGCATGTAGGGGTGGTGATTTACTTTAATTAATATTTAACAACTAGCAGGGCGAGGTGGCTCACGCCTGTAATCCCAGCACTTTGGGAGGCTGAGGCAGGTGGATCACGAGGTCAAGAGATCGAGACCATCCTGGTCAACATGGTGAAACCCCGTCTCTACTAAAAACACAAAAATTAGCCGGGCATGGTGGTGCATCCCTGTAGTCCCAGCTACTCGGGAGGCTGAGGCAGGAGAATTGCTTGAACCCAGGAGATGGAGGTTGCGGTGAGCCGAGATCGCGCCATTGCACTCCAGCCTGGGTAACAAGAGTGAAACTCTGTCTCACTCTTGTTATATATATATATATTTTTTTTAACAAGGATTTTAGTATGGTTTATTTATTCACCTATGCTACGTGGAAACTATTTTCTAATGTTTTTTCACTAACACTATGACTAAGGGTATCTACTTACCTGGGGAAGAAAATGACAACACATAAAAATTTTACTCAGTGATGCTGCCCTTCTAAAAGACACAAACAGGCACAGAATATCTACTTGGTCAGTAAGGTATGCTTAGCATCATTATTTATCAGGGAAATGCAAATTAAAATCACAATTAGATACCACTGCATGCCTGTAAATATAAATACCTCATGCATTGCTGATAAGAATGTGGTTTAACCACTTAAAGCCGGTAATATCTTCCAAAGCTAAACGTACACCTTCATTGTGGCCTATCAGCTTCATTAATACCTAGGAAGGTATTAATTTCTAAAATTTCTAAAAGAAATGGCCGGGCGCAGGGCCTCACGCCTATAATCCCAGCACTTTGGGAGGCTTAGGCGGGTGGATCATGAGGTCAAGAGATCGAGACCATCCTCGTCAACAAGGTGAAACCCCGTCTCTACTAAAAATACAAAAATTAGCTGGGCATGGTGGTTGGCGCCTGTAGTCCCAGATACTTGGGAGGCTGAGGCAGGAGAATTGCTTGAACCCAGGAGGCGGAGGTTGCAGTGAGCCAAGATCGTGCCATTGCACTCCAGTCTGGATAACAACAGCAAAACTCCGTCTCAAAAAAAAAAAAAAAAGGAAAAGAAAGAAAAATTAGTACCAGCTGGGTGCGGTGGCTCACGCCTGTAATCCCAGCACTTTGGCAGGCCGAGGGGGGTGGATCACGAGGTCAAGAGATCGAGACCATCCTGGTTAACATGGTGAAACCCCGTCTCTACTAAAAACACAAAAAATTAGCTGGGCGTGGTGGTGTGTGCCTGTAATCCCAGCTACTCAGGAGGCTGAGGCAGGAGAATTGCCTGAACCCAGGAGGTGGAGGTTGCGGTGAGCCGAGATCACGCCATTGCACTCCAGCCTGCGTAACAAGAGTGAAACTCCGTCTCAAAAAAAAAAAAAAGAAAGAAAGAAATTAGTACCTATGCCAACCTTTTTTT